TCTATTCAAATTTATTGTTTTTTACATTCACTATTTATGTTTTGGGCGAATTATACTTTGCACCATGAAAAATTTTAAATGAGTTGGATTTTGACAGAAAAAAATAACGGAAGGTAACAAAAAGGGTACATTACAACACTTTTGATACATTGAAAGTGCAATATAACAAATTTAAATGTTAAGGGTGCAAAGTAAAAATCTTCAAATTTTTTAGGGTGTAAAATGAAAAATGTCCTTATTTTTTTTTAATATTTTTTGAGTTCACTATTTATCCACACCAATTGTACTCTCTTAATTAAAGATTTTAAATTGGTTGTAACTTGCAAAGGCAAATGAAAAGGTTTAATGACTAAAAGAAGGGGCTGCATCTTTTTATAGACATGAGAGGTCTCCTTCATTTGAATTTGTTGACGTGGGATTCAAGTCAAAAGCTTTCACTATGTGTTCATTGTGCAATTTTAGTTCTACTCCTTGATGTCTCTTTTTCCATTTGAAGGTTCAGTTGTGCTACTTGAAGGTCTCTTCTTTCAGGTTCAGTTGTACTCCTTGAAGCTTTCACTGTGTGTTTACTGTGCATGTTCACTATGTGTTCTCGTCTTCCATTTGAGTTGATTCCCAAGGTCATGAAGAACCCTCAACTAGTGTTGTTGGTGGAGGTGGTAAGCTCTCGAGCACTGGTTGGTAACCCTCAACCAGGTTCACTGTTTGGTCCCACATCGAGCACTGAAAGGGGGTAAGTGAGTAATCTGTATTTAATTTTTCTGGAGTAAGATTTTGTTTTACTCATTTATCAAATATTTATATATATATTTTAATTTTGACTAATTTTTTAAAAATAATTATTAATTTATTATTATATTAATTTTTTTTAAATGAGTAAACAGATGATAAACAAGTTGACAAGTCTCACCCGAACACGACCCGTGTATTAAACATGTCTGTTGGGTTAACCCGTTTATCACCCGAACTCGTTAAGGTTTCACCCAAATCCATTTAATTCATGTCGATTCGTGGCGGTTAATCATGTCGTCTTAGATTTTGACAAGCCTAACCACAGGCCACGAGAGGGGAGAGAGAGATCAATTGGAGAAGGTTCAAATCCAGAAGAGATCTATGGCGTAGGTGACTAACAGTGAGACACAAAGAGTGTTACAGAGAATCGAGAGAGAGAGAAAGACATATAAAGAGAGAAAGAGAGAGGGCTTACTGTTCGTCGCCTAGAAAAAGAAATGAGAGAGGTCAAGTTGAAGCATAAATCGAATTGAAAACGAAGACTTTTCGTCACCTCGCCTGGGTGGGAGGGTGTTTGGTGGGTGGTGGCAGTGAATAATTGTGGTAATAAATATAAGAATAAAATGGTGATGGAGGTTTTTAAGTGACTTTCTTTATTAAGAGAAGTTTTGTTAAACGCTATTTTTATGGATTTTTGACCTTAAAAGTGTTCAGATTGGACCTAAAGTCTAAAAAGTCCTAAAATGCAGACTTGTGACCTATTATAAACAATGTTATTTTGACTTAATTTATTGACATAAATTGCTGATCTAATTTCACAACCACTAAATTGATCGTGGGCCCAATATTCGATAAGATACTCTACTTATCTAATGGTTGTTGATGGGCTAAGCACAAGGGCCCAACTCTAAGAGGTCCAACTAGCCAAGTCCAAAGGGGTTTGCACCCGGTCAAGCTCATCAAGTTCCAAGAGTTACATCAATAAAGAAGCGCACAGGGTCGTCTAAGAGCTCATTCAAGAGCCTTCTCTACCACTTTGGAGCAATGGTCATTCAAGAGCCTCCTTTACCACCTTGGCACAAGGGTCGTTCAAGAACCATGGAATAAGGGTCATCCAAAAGCCTCTTCTACCACCTCGGAGCAAGGGTCATCCAAGAACCTCCTCTACCACTTTGGAGCAAGGGTCGTCCAAAAGCCTCCTCTACCACCTTGGAGTAAGGGTCATCCAAAAGCCTCCTCTACCACCTTGGAGTAAGGGTCATCCAAGAGCCTCTTCTCCACCTTGGAGTAAGGGAGCATCCAAGAGCTTCACCCTCGCCGCTTGGAGAGAGTGAACCTTCTCTCATCCTTTGACCAAGTCCTTTAGAAAGCATCATAACTTCCTTGCCCATTGAGGAAATGAGAGGTCACTAAGCTATTTAATTACTGTTAAAGTCACCCCAATCCGTTATGACTATTAAACAGCTCCAACTCGTTATGGCCGTCAAATTAGCTAAGCCACAATAAATTGTAAGCCCCACCAACACTTGGGGGGCATCTCACTCATTTGAGCATAACTCTCTCCTCCTCTCTCAAAGTTCGTAACATTATGCTCTCTTTCCATACTAGAGATAATAAAATACTAGCGACCTTTGTCATTCAAAGTGGATGTAGGTCACGTTGACCGAACCACTATAAACCTTGTCTTCTCTCTCCCTCTACTTATTTTACTGTATTTTATACTGCATACTTGAAAAGTGGTGTGCAAACCAATTTGTGCATCATCAGTTTGGCGCCGTCTATGGGAATGACAAAGTTCTCACCTAAACCTTTTATTTGTTGAATCAAAGGCGATCACCACCAAATCCATGAATCAGCCTGAAAGCATTCCACCAAGAGAGGAGGAGGTTGCTCCTCCACCCAATCTAATCCAAAATGCGTAGCAGACGCTGTAGACTATGCAACAGCTTATAGTCCAAAATCAGCAAATTCTGTAACTGATACTCGGACAACAAGGAGGAGCACATCCTAGACCTCAAGTTAGAGGAGCTCCACACTCTGTCCATCAAAGAACTCCCCACCTAGGCACTCCTCATCAAGGGGGCGCCCTTCCTCTAGGAGTACCCCTGGGTGCCCCACACAGGGGGGCCCACCATAAAGAACTTCCACCTCTTCCTCTAGCTCCTGCTCCCCATGGTGGAGACTTTCATTTCCAAGAGAATGAGGGTTAAAACCATTTCCATGATAATTCCAGAAGACCTCCTTCCAATTACTGGGACAAAAAAATTAAGGAGGTACAAAATCAATTGGTTGACGTCTTCAACGCCATAAAGGCACAAAACCCGAGACAATGGACTACCTCGTAAGACGAACCGACACACCTTTCAAATATGACGTGGTGAACTACCCACTTCCTCATAAATTCAAGATGTCATCCGTCGAAACCTTTTACGATACAAGGATCCACTAGACCACCTCGAAACTTTTAAGACCTTGATACAGCTACATAATGTCCCTGACGAAATCATGTGCAGAGCAATTCCAACCACCTTGAAGGGATCCACTCGACAATGGTTCGCCAAGCTCTCCCCAACCTCCATTGGCACATTTTTTGAGCTGAGCAAGTCTTTCATGTCACACTTCATTAGAGGACGCCACCACCAGAAGCCTGCCACCCATTTGCTCAGCATAAAGCAGGATTGAAACGAGAGCCTAAGGAGCTACCTCATTCATTTTAACGAGGATGTCCTTCAGGTCGAGGAGCCCGATGATAAGGTCAGCATGACCGCCTTCCTAGGAGGCCTCCAATTATCAAGATTCCTCTTTTCGATAATGAAGCGACCAGCAAAGAACATGCCAAAATTATTGGCAAAAGCTCAAAAATATATGAATGCTGAGGAAATCAACAAGTCCAGGCGAGGTGAATCATCTTACGGATCGCCAAAAGCTTGGCCTATCTCTGTTCTGCTATCAAGCACACATCCAATATCTCCAACTTAGCGGCTCTCTCGCGGGTCACCAAAAGCATGGCCTCTACATGTTTTCAAATAGGCAGCCTATATATCCAGCTTAGCGGCTCTCTCATGGGTCGCCAAAAACTTGGCCTCTACACTGTTCTCAAGCTGGCAGCCTATTTTTAGCTGAGCGACTCTCTCAAAAGACGCCAACAGCTTGGCCTTTGCACCGCTTTTAAGCAGACAACCTATCTCTAGCTTAGCAGCTCTCTCAGGTCGCCAAAAAGCTTGGCCTTTGCACAGCTTTTAAGCAGACAGCTTATTTCCACCTGAGTGGCTCTCTCACGGGACGTCAAAAGCTTAGCCTCTGCACTGCTTTTAAGCAGGTATCCTATTTTCACCTGAGCGGATCTCTCACAAGTTACCAAAAGCTGGGTCTCTGCACTATTCTCAAATCGGCAGCCTATATTTCCAGCTTAGTAACTCTCTCGCAGGTCGTCAAAAGTTTGGCCTCTACTCTGCTCTCAAGCAAACAGCTTATACCTCAAGCTTAAGAACTCTCTCATGGGTTGCCAAAAGCTTGGTCTCAAAAGGTGTAGCTCTCTTATGAGCAATCCTCAATCTTTGTCTTTGCTCTCGCGCAAGCAGCGTACCTCTTTCTCCGAGTAATTATGTTAGATATTTTAATATTTGGAATAATATTGTTTTTGTCATCTCTAGCCAGGCACTTGAAACTCAGGTCGTCTGCAACCCGAGGGACTACATTAAATTGAACGTCAATAATCGGACCTCATTCTTTTGTGCCCATCTGGCACCATCGCCTTGTTGCCGCAGCACCCCGTGCTTAACACTTAGCGCAAACAAGCTCTACTTGCGCTTGCCTCCAAATAGTGCACCTCCATCGCGATCAACAAAATCGCCAGACAACAATGCCCAGTACCATGGGCTCCTCTCCGGCGGTGCCCATCACCATAGGGACTTCTACAATAGTGCCCAGCACCATAAGCGCATCTCCATTAGCACCCAACGCATGGGGCATCTCATTTGACACCATAGCGCCTCCCCATGCCAATGGCGCCCCCACTCCGGCGCCCCTCATCTCAGTTCCTGCGGCATGGGTCACCATCTCGGTCTCGACATCCTCAACACCCAGCTTTTGCACGAGGGCCCTCCATGAACTCCCATTTAACAAAATTGCCAAGGAACCCATCCTGCTTGCCCGAAACTGCCAAGGCGCACAGCCTGCTCTCCCAACATGGATCGTCGCCGTAGCAGCCCCGCTCACTTGGCCTGCTTCCTCTCTACAACGCATACCATGCGCTCCTACCTTGCACGCTAGCAGCGCCCGAGGCAAGCCCATACACCTGCGCGCCTCCCTTTCTCGCCTGGCTTGCTCACTAAGATTGGGGTCGCCACAGCCTGGGTGCCCAATGCCTCCTTCTCACACACTCCAAACGCGTGCACAACAAGCCACTCCACTAAAACCACTCCCCTCAGTTCTCTATTCTTCTTCTCTAGGGACAACAACGATCTCTTCAGAAATCCAAAAGGAAAGTGAAAGAAGCAGTTTATAGAGTCAATAGAGTCCTACAAGTAAAAGGAGTCTATTGGAAGGAATGGGGGTGGCCGATCAAGAGGAATTTTTAAAAAATTTGGATTTAAAAAGGGCTGAACACTATTTTGATCAAAACTTTTGATTTGAAACTCCAAATGAGACTTATTATATATCAAATTGAAGCTCTCAGTGAGCCTTACAAAATTCACTGCTTATAGCAGTGAAAGACGCTATAAAAATTCAATAAAAGACTCAGAAATAGCTGTTTTGCTCTCTCAAAGTTTTTTTTTATAAAAAAAAATTAAAATGTTACTACTTGCCCAGGACACTCGCTACTCACCCAGAAGCTGCCTGGTCACCCAAACTGCGCACCCAGCTCCCTGCACGCTATTTTGACCGTGAATCTTGATCCGAAACTCTAAATAAGACTTATTATATATCAAATCGAAGCTCTTGCCGAGATGAACAAATTTCATTACCTTTGGCCTTCCGAAGTTTAAAAAAAAAAATCTGCTCACCCAGAACAGTGCTGCTCGCCCAAATTGCTTGCCTAGTTCTCTGCTCAAAGTTTTGACCGTAACTTTTACTCCGTTACTCCAAATGAGGTTTATAATATATCAAATCAAAGCTCTCGGTGAGCCCTACAAAACACAAAGGCTATGATTGATGATGTTAAAAGTCCAAAAAAAGCCTAGAAATAGATGTTTTGGCCTCCCGAAATTTTTTCAACTGTGTCGGTCAGCCAAAAATTCAAACTCAATCGAGTACCCTCCTCTCCAAGCTTCATTGGACATAGGGCATTAAGAGACAAATGATGAGCCAAGCCCAAGGGTCCAACTCCAAGAGGTCCAGCTAGCCAAGCCCAAAAATATTTGCACCCAGTCAAACTCATCAGGTTCCAAGAGTTACATCAGTAGAGGAACACACAGGGTCGTCTAAGGACCCATCCAAGAGCCTCCTCTACCACCTTGGAGCAAGGGTCGTCCAAGAGCCTCCTCTACTACCTTGGAGTAAGGGTCATCCAAAAGTCTCCTCTACCACCTTGGAGCAATGATCGTCCAAGAGCCTCCTCTACCACCTTGGAGTAAGGGTCATCGAAAAGCCTCTTCTACCACCTTAGAATAAGGGTCATCCAAGAGCCTCCTCTCCACCTTGGAGTAAGGGAGCATCCAGAAGCTTCACCCTCGCCGCTCAGAGAAAGTGACCCTCCCTCATCCTTTGACCAAGTCCTTTGGAAAGTATCATAACTTCTTTGCTCATTGAAGAGATGAGAGATCACCAAGTTATTTAATCACTGTTAAAGTCACTCCAATCCGTTATGACTATTAAACGGTTCCAACCCGTTATGATCGTCAGATTAGCTATTCAATTACTACACTAAGCCACTATAAATTATAAGCCCCACCAACACTTGGGGGCATCTCACTCATTTGAGCATAACTCTCTCAAAACTTGTAACATTCTGCTCTCCTTCCACACCGGAGATAATAAAATACCGATGACCCTTGCCATTAAAAGTGGACGTAGGTCACGTTGACCAAACCACTATAAACCTTGTCATCTCTTTCCCTCTACCTATTTTACTGCATTTTATACTGCATACTTGACAGGTGGTGTGCAAACCAATTTGTGCGTCATCAGTTGTGATAAATTAAATCAAAAAATTATGTCAAAAAATTTGATCTAAATAGTATTAGTTGTTCCTTTACTATCTACAACTTCGCTCACACCCGACATATTTTATCTATGACAATGTTAGCAGGTAAATGACGTTTTACAAAAACAACCCATTTGTATTTCTTTTTCATAAATTACATATAATATTTTACATTTTAACTTTGTTTTAAACACAAATTTAATTGACCGTGGTTTCATTTTAACTATGACTTTATAAAATGAAACATTTACTCTCACGGGTAGGTGAGAGGAATATAGGGGGAGAGGGAGAGACATATCAAAGCGAAGATGTAAACCCACAATGCTTTTCAAAAACCCGATTCATCACTACTGCATCCTCTTATAAATCTACAACAATGCTAAATTCATCAAAAATTTTACAAATTTTGAATCACAAATCATTGTAAACTATAGAATCGATAGGTCCCAAAAACTCTGGTTAACTATTCAATGAATATCAATGTGATATATCATTTACCAAATTTTTTGTCGACACATCATTTGTCTCTAATCTAATGTTTTGTTTGGTATAATAGAAAGATGAAAAATATGAAGGATAAAAAATTAGAATGATAAATAAACATCATATTTGATAAGAAATGATAGAAAAATATATGAATTAAAAGAGCATCTTCAAATGTACTCTTCAAAATAGTTACCCAAAACATATTAAAATATTACATTCTTTATTTTAAAGAGTCATTTTTACAAAGTTGTTTTATCCATGCTCTCTATTTTAGCTAACTATTATTAATATTTTAAGTCAAAATATTGCATAGCTTGACATGTCATCAATATGCAAAATGACTGTGCCCTTGGAGAACAAAAAGAGTTATTTGGCTCTCTACATATAAAATAGCTAGCCAAGGAGGCTAGCCAAATGTAAAAAATCATTTAGCTAAAATGTAAAATAGCTAGCCAAATAACTAGTCTCTTTGAGTACAATTTTGTGGTTTGGCTCTCTATTTTAGCTAATAAATGTCAAATAACTAGCTCCTTGGAGATGATCTAACTTTACTTTCAACTCACTAAAATTTGTCCTCCAAAATTGAGAGAAAAATAGATTATGTGTGTGGAAATATATATTATTTACCTTTATATCCTTTAATATATACATATATTCTATTTATCTATTACATATTATATACATAATAGTTTTATATATAAATATAATGCTAAAATATGCATCAATACTTATTTCATCTTTCCACTTTTACATCCTATCAAATACCAAAAAAAAAATTCTACTTTCTATCCTTCCAACCAAATGCAAAAGAGTGAAATAATGATTTCTTCCTTGAAAAATAAAAAGTGTATCACTCTCATTTTTTATCCTTTTATTTTTTCATCTACCCTACCGAACATACCATAAAAGTGATCTATTCAGTCAAAGGTGCAAATTTATGAATCCACCCCCCCTCCCTCTTTCGCTTTCGTTGTCGCTCTTGCTGTCACATTGATGTATACACAATTTACATAAATCTTAGTTTAATTTGTAGCTAAAGGAGTGTGGATCAATTTTTCCCAAAAAAATTATTTTTCGTTCTTGCTTGTATTAATATGCTCCACGTACGGAGCAAATTCACTTTGACCTTTCGAGTACTGAGATTAATATTAGTAGCTAACAAGAGAATGGATAACTTAGCCACCATTTGACAATAACTCCTTTTAAGTAATTTTTTAGGGTTTTTCATACTTTATATCTTGAAAGATTTCAAGTTTTTCATTTTATACCCTCAAATATTAAATATCTTATATTGTATCTTCAATGTATCAAAAATATTGTAATATATCTTTTCTGTTAACTTCCATTATTTTTTTCGTCAAAAATTAATTTATTTTCACTGACGAAAAAATTGACAAAAACCTAATAAAAAGTCAACTCATTGACATTACAACACTTATAATATATTGAGGGTGTAATGTGAATGACTAAAAAAAAAAGTGTAACTTGGGAAAGTTAATGAATCTTAAAGTATTTTAGGGTACAAAGTGCAATTCTCCCCTTTTTTTTAAATTAAAGATATTTTTGTCAATTTTTGCTTGTCTTAAAAAAAAATTAATATTAAATATTATTTTTCAAAATAAATTTATAAAGCCTTTGTCAAGACCTGGTTCACATGGTCGACAGTGGTATGACTGGTCACGATCTCCAATAAAGCAAACAAAGGGTTGAATGCTGGAGCATTCCAATGGAGACGATGACCCAAGTCTCCGGCGCCTTGACTTCGTAACACCCTATTTTTAAATTTTATTTTTTTAATAGGTATTTTTATAATTTTTGTATATAATTTTAAAACTACAAAATTTATTTCTTTTATGTGTGTTTTTATCACTTTAGTAATAATTATTTTTATCACTTTTCTTCAGTACAAAAAAATATATATTATTTTTATGTGTTATTTATCACTATTATGAATATTTTTATCACTATTATAATAATTATTTTTATCACTTTTTCGTTACTATAATAATGTTAAAAACACTCACAAATCTATACTACTTATAAATGTCAGGATGTGTGAAAAATTTTTGATTTTTTATTTTATCCCTAATTATTATTTTAAAGTCAATTATACCCACATATTTTTCTCTGTTTCATACCTATTTCCAAAATAAAAAGACTCCTTTAAACACTGTCAATTAAAGAAGAGTTCTTAGAGTTTTGTAACTCCCAAACCATTGAAACACTATCAATTTTTCTTAGGATTTTCTATCTTCTCTCTGTATCTCAGCTCTCTCCTCCATCGCACACAGTGGCAGCACTTTCCCAAGTAAGCCTCTCCCTGCCTCTGAATTTCTCTAATCTTTCACACTCTGCCCACACCACCACCATAAATACACACAATCACCTCTTTGCTTGAGTAATCCACCCCACCCGCCCATAGCCTCTGTTTTCTTTTGTATAACAATTTTTCAAATAATGTTTTAATTAAAAATTTTGCCCTATTGAATTTTGGGTTGTGTTTCATTCCCAAAAAAATTTAATTAACAACAATTTATCTAAATTAAAATACAATTTCAAAGAACTGTTTTGGGTTGTGTTTCATTCCCAAAAAACTCATTAATACCCAAAAAAAGTTTAATTAACAACAATTTATCTAAATTAAAATTCAATTTCAAGATATAAATCATTGTAGCCGTTGATTTAAATCATCAATAGAAAATGTAAAGCAACCTTCTTTATTTGAAAATAACAATTAGACAAAAAAAAAAAAAAAGCTTGACTCATTTTGATATATTTCTCTATTGTGACAAGTGATACCTTTCAATCCTCTTTTGACTTTTTCATATATTCTAA